CCCAATATTAAAGGAACCTCTTTTCCTCTCTAGTGCCACTCACTGAAACATTTGGATGAGATTAACATTTAAATTGGTGAATTCTGAGTAAGCAGACTGCCTTCTATAATGTGAGTGGGACTCGTCTAATCAGTTGAAGGTCTGAATAGAACAAAAAGCCTCGCTTCCCCAGACAAGAGGGAAATCTCCAGCAGACAGCCTTCTAACTTCATCTGCACCTTTGTCTTTCCTGGGACTCCAGCCTATGGGCCCACACTTGCCAGTCTCCTTAATCAATGAGCTGATTCCTTGTAATAAATCTCTTTCTGTATACATATACGTCCTATTGGTCTGTTTCTCAGGCGAATCCTGAATATTACCAATACCTATAATATGATAGATATACTAATGTATACTTCTACCAGCAGTGAGTAAGTGTTCCAATCCACAAAATATTACTTGTTTACTCTGACCTTAAACTCTTCCCCTCCTATAAGCTACAACTAATTCAATCCTGTAGGTGGTGAAAAAACTGGTGTATGTGTCTCCCTCTGAAAAATGTTCAGTGGCTACCCCCGGTCTTCCCAGAGTGAAGTTCAGACTCCATGAGGCACAGCAAGATCCGAGCCAACCAAACTGCCCAGGCTCTTTGTGACATTGGGCTGCCCCCGTGGGCTTCAACTTCTTTTTTTCAACTTAGAATCTACCGCATAAAACCTTACTTGGGACCCCAGCACATCACGTGCTGAGCCCCTTGGCTGGTGCGGGCACCCCTGTTTCTTCCTATTGGGTTACCCCTCGTGGCGGCAAGGGGCCACAGAGCTCAGGGCAGGAACCACATCCTGCTGGAGCTCCGTGCTCTCTCCCTGCGTGGATGTCACCCTTTCCTTGCACCCTCTGTACTCTCTCCTTCCCTCATCTGTCTCTCTATCTTGGGAAAAATCCTTCCATGTTGTCAACATCCAGCGTGACTTGATCCTTGAGCCTCCCCGCTCACTGTGTTGGAATCCAACTCCCCTCCATCTCACTTCTGGCACTTCACAAACATCAAAGGGTCTCACCCTGGTGCTGCGACTGGACAGCTCACAACCTCCAGGTGGGTAATGACCCTGAACCCTTCCATCAGCTGCACGATGGGAACACGTTACCTCCGCCATGGTGTTTCACAAACATTAGAGGAGAGGACATTTGGTTCATGCCCAGGAGGCACCTGGTGAAAGTTAGGTAGTAGAGTAGTGTGGGTGGGCCGCCCATCTGGCGGGTACATTTCCATAAGTGTAACTACATTCACTTGAACGGACTAGTAAGGCCAGAGACATGGGCTGCAGTAATTTTCAGCAGGATCCACTTCTACCACAAACTCTGCCATGAAGTGGTTGCCTCTGGAAGGTTCCCGCCCAAGCCACCCCAGCTGCTTTTCCCTTGGAGCAATAAAATAAATGCAGCCATTCTTACCATTAAGTCCTCCACATCAGTTCCCAACTGAGGAAGGCTTCTGTGATGCTAATCATCTTTTAACACAAATTTGCATTAACAGCACCGTTTATTCAGCACAAGACTGTCCCATTTGCTCTCCAGCTCTGAGCTGAAAGCCCCAGGTGGGGGGTGGGGCAGCAAGGATGTACAATGGTTGACTTCTCATTTGAGAGTCCCTGCAGCTCCATGTCCCCCCAGCTGTCCTTTTCCATTCCTCACTGCAGTTTTATCCAATGGGGCACATACAAGGTCTGAGAACTTGGCCAGATATTGGACCTCACCACACTTCAAGTTCTTGCCTATAAAATCAAGATTATATCTACATCCAAGTGGGCAACGGGGTTAAATGAGAAGATACTGACCAAGTTCCTCATACATAGTCAGCTCTCAGCAAAGAGGAGAAATCAGTATATTTAGAGAGCATATGGTTCAGTTACTTTATCCTTTTGAAGTTCTTATAAACTTTTACACAAATTAGGATTTCTGGATTCCAACTCCAATCTTGTATTATTAAATAGATCATCAAATCTCCCTTTAGGCTACACATGCGTGCAATACTTATAGGTCCGGATACAATGTTAATAAAGCACACACAGAAAACTTCAAGTATATGTAAGGTTAACTTTGAAATATGGCTACTATATTTTTTAAATTCACTATCATTTTTAGTTTTTTTTTAAAAAAGGAATTCCTCCAAGTCTCGAAAATGAGTGGAATACTCTCACTGGCCCATTACTGCAATCTGTTACTTAAAAATATAAATGATCAAAAACAATCATGATGAAACACACTTAAGAATACCATCATGAAGAATTCATCTATGTGGAGAGACGGCACTCCTATCTTTGACCAGTAACTGACTGAAAATCGTACCACTGTATTTGAAAAGGCCCCAGAAGATCTCCCTTTGCCTAACTTCAAGAAAATAATAGGAGCAATAAATCTGGATGATAAAAGCAAGAAATATTGCCAAAATTGCTCATATATAATGCTAAAAATCCTACCTTGGTATGGCAATCACAACTCAGTTCCCAACAATTTAGCTCTATCCTCTATCCTAAACTTTCAGAAGAGGTCAAACTGCCTGTTGTTTGGGTTTTTTTGTTTTTTTTTTAATTAAAAATGTATATATTCGGGGTGCCTGGGTGGCTCAGTTGGTTAAGCGTCTGCCTTCGGCTCAGGTCATGATCTCAGGGTCCTGGGTTGGAGCCCCAGGTCAGGTTCCCTGATCAGCAGGAAGCCTGCTTGCAGGGAACCTGCTTCTCTCTCTGCCCCCCCCCCCCCCACTCACTCTCTCTCTCTCTCTCACTTGAATAAATAAATAAAATCTTTTTTAAAAATGTATATACTTAAGGCATGCAATACAATCATTTGATATATATATACTGAAACAATTACTATAATCAAGCTAATTTACATTTCTTCTCACATAGTTACCATTTTTCTTTTGTGGTGAGAGCACCTGAAATCTACTCCCTTAGGAAATGTCCAGGGTTTAATGCAGTATTATTTTTATTTTTTAAAGATTTTATTTATTTATTTGACAGAGAGAGACACAGCAAGAGAGGGAACACAAACAGGAGGAGTGGGAGAGGGAGAAGCAGGCTTCCCGCTGAGCAGGGAGCCCTATGTGGGGCTCGATCCCAGGACCCTGGGATCATGACCTGAGCCGAAGGCAGACACTTAACGACTGAGCCACCCAGGCGCCCCTAATGGAATATTATTAACTGCAGTCCTCATGCAGGGCATTAGATCTCTAGGTGAAGTCATCCCACATAACTATAACTGTGTACCCTTTGACAACAGCTCCCCATTTCCCCACCTCCCTGTGCCCGGTGACCATTATTCTACCTATGTTTCATCGGAATTTCTTTGGCAGAAATTGGAATTCTTGATCTGGGACCCAGGCTGCAAAAGCTCACCACATGAAGGGTGAAGGGTCCCATCTCGTTCTTGCCTTGGTTGTTCAGGCCAGGTGTCGAATAACTCACTCTACTCGAAGGCCCTTGCCAATCCTCTCCTTCATCTGCATGGCTAATCAAAAGTGGTCCATACACGAAAAACTTGCAGACAGCAGTCAACAGGTGACTGTACCCAACAGCGAATGAGGAGTTCAATGACAAAATGGACTCAATAATAAATATTTCATTAAAGAGATTTTGCTAATAGACACTTTGTAAGCCTCAGTCATATACACAAAACTATTTTTGAGCTTAGCTACATCCACAGAGAAAAAGAAAACTAACACATGGGAAATTTCCTTACCTTCTGACTATTTGCTATCCCTTAGCAATATTGTAAATTGTCCTTTTATAATATATATCCCTTGAAAAGAAAGCACTCTAGCACATGTCACATAATGTGTTCTGCTGAATGTCCATTTGGGATACAATTTTAGAGACTCCAGACAAGAAACACATGGTTCCAAACTATCTCCTTCCCTAGACTATTACTGACATCTGAAAATTTCATCATTAGTCATTTTGTATCAAAAGTGTAGGGAATAATAATAGTGACAATAATAACACCCACCAGCCCCTGACTGCCATAGGTCTTTAACCATATGATCCCTAAGCCATTCAACAAAGAGAATGGTATTATTAACTCAGTTTACTATTCAGAAGCCTGAGATACAGAGGGATCGAGCAGCTAACATAAGGTTTTGCAGAAAGTAAAGGCTAGAAAAACCATGTTTTTCCAATATACCATACCCAATCCATGTGGCTATTATTCGAAGGACTAACTCACTAAGCACCAAACCATAGTCCCTGGTAGGCATAGCAGAAAATATCTAGGAGATCATTTGATCCTTCTTGAAATGACACCTTGCAGTTTCTGAAGTGTCCTCTCTTAGGAACTTGGATGAAGCAAAAAATGGAGCCAGTGCATGAACTCTGCCCAGATTCACTAATAAGTCTAGATTTGGTTACAGAGAGGACTCTGAACACACAGAGGTTGAAGCCAGCACTGAGTGCTTAGCAGAAGGAAGCAGTACTCCATCACCAGGAGGAAGCTCAGATGGGGAGGTATCTGGTCCTGAACCCAAACGCTGCCAACATCAGTTTAGTCTAAGCTCTAGTCATTATTATTTTTTTAAGAGTTTATTTATTTGTGAGAGAGAGAGAGCACAAGCAGGGGGAGCGGAAGGCAGAGGGAGAAGCAGGCTCCCCACAGAGCAAGGAGCCCAAAATGGAACTCAATCCCAGGACCCCAGGATCATGACCTGAGCCGAAGGCAGACACTTAACCGACTGAGCCACCCAGGCGTCCCTATGCTCTAGTCATTATTGAGACAATAGAAAACCTGGGCTTTTCTCCTACTACATTCAAATTTGTCAGATGCTTATTCTACTCACAAATGATAGCACATTAAGAAAAATGAAACTGATTCACAGAACTATTTCCTTAAAACAATAATATCATAAGATATAGAAGTGAAATTGGAAAATCCCACAAACACATGATAAAGCATTTTGTAGTTTCTACTGGGGCTTTAAGAATCAAATGTCGTAGATGGGTAAAAAGATAAATAAAACATCCACTCACCTGATGCAACCACCTGGATCACCTTTTCCCAATGTCCATGTGGGAAAGTATGAAGAAAGCAAGAGTAGAAGCCAACATCGGCCTCAGAGACGTTATGAAAGGACAGGGTCATATCATTAGACGCCATGGTGGAATTTAAAAAATAAACCCTATCAGTATAGGGTGGTCTTACACTCAAACCATAGGTAGGGCTGAAAATGGCTATGAGCTCTCTGTTTGTTGTATTGATCTTGAGCCATTCCATCTGAGTTAAGGTGTCCAGTGATGAATAGATACACTCTAGACTCATATTCTCAGCAAGTTTAACAGTTGTGTCCCAAAACATCTCTTCGCATAGAGCTGAAATACACAACATCACATTTATTCAGTTAGGCTTGATGATTGAAACACCAAATAGATACCTTAAGCTTATTCTAAGCTTTATAAGACCTCACAAGATAGCAAATTGAGATCATGCTAAAGGCTAACAGTTTCTACCTTAGTCTAAAAAGGTTTCCACTGCCGATAAGAGGTATTTGTAACTTGTAGATTTCCTAAACAAGTGAGAAATTACCTGAGCCAACTAAAGAGCATTATAAATTCTAAACACATCACACTATAAGACCAAAAAAGAAGTAAATTTTTTAAATGAAGACATTATCTTTACCTCTGTATACGTGAAGAATAGCCAAGAAGAAAGTAAGATAATCCATCTCTGGAAACCGTTTGGGAGGCTGGTCTATAAAAAAAGACAATTTATGTAATGTTACATGCAGAGGCCCAGCACAATACACTGCTTCCTTCCTCTCAGATATTATCAGTAGTATCTTTCTTCTGAAGTATGAACACAGGAAAAAGGTCTTAGCTTCAAAGTCAGGTTTGCTCTCACACAAGAATGAGCAGATTTGAATCACTTCTCTCTCTCTCGGGGAAATAGCTTATTTTCAAGCTTTTATTTTCCACAAAGATTCATTCATTGAACAAATCAGTGAATGGCCAGATTCTGCTCTAGGCGATTAGGACACAACAGTAAATTAAAAAAAAAAAAAGTCCTTGCCATCATGGAACTTACATTCTAGTGGGAGAATACAGAAACTGAAATAAAAAAGTAAAAACTGTAGTAAGTTATATGTGGTAAGTGCACGAGGAAAACACAAAGCAGGAAAGTGGGGATAGGATAGTATGGGTGGTAGTGTTTCTCTTTTAGCAGGAAGGTCTGGGAAGTCTTCACTGAGAACTTGACGTTGGAGCAGAGACTGAAGGGAGGAGGGGAGGGGCCTGGGGTGTCAGGGGTGGGTTTGGAGGCTCCACCAATGTGGACTGTGGTTGGGCATGGCCTTCCTTTTACTTCAACATTTTCATAGACCTCAGGCATTTGCTTTGGATTAGATGAAGGGACCACGGAAGGACCTCCAGTTACAAAAGCATCGAGGCTCAGGACATACACAAATCTACCATTATGGATGATTTCTTTAAACTTTTTATTTTGAAATAGTTACAGAGACATAGTAATTTGAAAAGACAGTACAGAGAGCACCCTAGTACTCTTCACCCAGTTTCCCCCAATGGTTACATCTTATATAATTATAGTACAATATCAAAACGTGATTGATTTTTTAGGTTCATCATTGTTCCTTTCCGTCATGTAAAATAACAGTTCAGTTTCTTAAGAACTTGTTAGGAATATATTACCAGGTTGGTATAAAAATACATTATTGCCTCTATAGTGAGAGGAATTACATGAATGCATTTGGCCCCTGATAAGAGGGTCAAAATAAAAGGTAGGTAAAAACTGGAAGCGGGGAACAGGAATCACTAAAGACAATGTTGCCTAAGGTCAACTCTGAACCTGGTTTCAATACCAAAGTTTATCAGTAGGTGTCTACTGTTCAACATCAGTATTTAACCAGGGAACTTTTTCAGGAAGCAAGAAATCAACAGTATGAAATTAGAATGTATACATATGGTACTGCATAGTGCCACCTCATGTCTACAGAGCATTTTATTTTCCAAACCTATGATATTATCTGTACCTGTAACAGCTGTATGATACAGTTAGATGAGGTATCTCTGTTTTGCAAGTAATTCAAAAAAACAATCCGTCCAAAATTTTAGTGAGCTGTACCAGGTACCCTGCCTAGGACCTGGAGGTGCAAGACTTGGTCTCTGCTCTCAAGGCGTAGTAATATATTGGGTGAGACAGATCACAGAGGCAGTTTATTATAACAAAACTGATAATTCTATAGAAATCAAATTTGAGCAAGTATTAGCATAGCCCAGAGAGGGAAAAATTCATTCTAATTGGAAAAGGTTTCAAAGGAAAAAATGCACCAGATCCTGGGCTTTCCAACCTAAGACTTTCCAAGTGCAGAAGGAAGAGAAGGAGATAAAGAGATGACAACAGAGGAAATTTTAGGGAGATGGTGTGACTACGGTCTAGGGGGTGGGAAAGAGACAAAAACAACGTTGGGTCCAGATTGAAAGTATCTTAAATGATACCCATGGAGAAGTTCAAACCTGGCCATCAGAAATCACAGCATCCTGCTTACATCTGTAACTCCAGCACCAAACACAGTCCCTGGGACACATGCCTATGGCATAAATAAACACAAGTCTGACAGCAACACAGAGCCACTAAATATTTTATGGAAGCAAGTGATGTGGACAGTTTTCCCTTTTTGAAAGATAACCTGGATGCCTGTAGAGAATGGACTGAGGTGGTAAGGGGCATTGAGGATTTATATCTGAGTCAGAAAAATTAATTCCATCAATTAAATCTTAACTACAGGACTTCCTCTTGATAGGTACCAACAAAAAATAAAACTATAAAACCAGAGTTACACCCAGTCCCAAGAATTCCTGAAGCCCTCAAGAAAGTATCCTCCTAACTGGCCCCCCATGCATTGTGCCCTGTCTTAGAACTGTGTCCCTTCACACACACACACACACACACACACACACACACACACACACACACTACCTGGAGTGATCTTGTGATAGACACCATATGACCTATACAGTTCAAAATACTTAATATCTTTTATTATCAATAAAGTGAAAAGACAACCTAAAGAATGGGAGAAAATATCTGCACATCATACATCTGATAAAGGTCTAGGATCCAGAATATGTAAAAAACTCTTACAACTCAACAACAAAAAGACAAATAACCCAATTTAAAAATGGGCAAAAAACATGAATAGACATTTCTCCAAAAAAGATATACAAATGACCAACAAGCACATGAGAAGTTGCTCAACATCATTAGTCATTAGAAAAAAATGCAAACTGAAACCACAAAGAGACTACTTCATGTTCACTAGGATGGCTATAATCAAAAATAAGGAAAATAACAGTGTTGACAAGGACGTAGTGAAGTTGAAACCCTTGAACACTGCCAGTAGGGATGTAAAATGGTGCAGCTACTGTGGAAAACAGTTTGGTTGTTCCTCAAAAAGTTAAACAGAATAACCATATGACCCAGCAATTCCAGTCGTGGGTTTATACCCCAAAGAACTGAAAACAGACACTCAAACAAATACTTGTATACCACTGTTCATAGCAACTCTATTCACAAAAGTCAGAAGGTAGAAACAACCCAAATGTCCATCAACAGAAGAATGGATAAACAAATTGTGGTATATCCACACAATGTCATATTGAGCAGTTATAAAAAGGAATGAAATACTGATTCAGGCTACAATATGAATGAACCTTGAAAACATGATAAGTGAAAGAAGGCAAACACAAAGGGTCACATATTGTAAGATTCCATTTATATGAAACACCCAGAATAAGTAAATCTATCGATTTGATTGGTTGTCAGGGGCTTAAGGGAGAGGAAACCAGGAGTGACTGCTTAAGGTACAGGGTTTTGTTTTGGGACAATGAAAATGTTTTAGAACTTGATAAAGATGGTACTTGCAGAACCACCATGAATGTACGAAATGCCACTCAACTATACACTTTAATTTTATGTTGTCTGAATTTCGCCTCAATAACAAAAATTACTGCTAGTGAATAGCAGGAGTCCAAATGCACCTCTGGTCTTTCCAACAGCCACCCACCACATTTTGCTGTTGGCCTTGCACTTATTGAGAGCACGTGGTCCCTCAACCACCCTGGTCTGCAAATGCACATTGAGCCTCACAGTACGTGCTGAGAATGGAGTCGGTCCCATGCTACAACTTAACAACAGCTAGAAATAGATAATGCAGAAGAACATAGTCCAGGTGGTCAGATAAATGATTCATGATGTTAAGAATCACTAAGTGCTTATTAAACACATGCCAAACATTGCATGCTTTATATTAATGTTTATATATTTATTAATGTGTGTGGTCAGGGTTGGGTAGGTTGGTAGAGGTGCGGGTGGAGGTAAGAGGAACAAAGGGACACAGCAGATCTCTGCTACAGGGCACTGGCTGCGGATCCGACAAGCATTAGATGCAACACGGCATCCTCCACTCTCAGAGGCTCCAAAGACCTCAGTGAGCTTCCTCCCCTAGCAGCAAAGAATCGGGGGTATGGGAGGATTATGAGAAAAGGGGAATGAACTGATAATAGTGTGCGGTGACCCCTTCATTTCCAAGGCATCCAAAGCCAATTTAGTGGAGAGATGAAGAGAGCAGACGTGCGCTTGCATTCTGCAGTGACTAAAATTGGGGGCCCTGGAGGCTATGGATCCAAACGGAAGGTGCAGAAAGACATGCAGCCGAAGATAAAGTTCAGCTGTTACAACTTTGCTAAGGACGAACCCTATTCATCAGCATTTAACCAAAGACAAATAGAGACTGCATTTCTGTTGTGTAGGGAGCCATTTTTTGCATGATTTATGAAGGAATTTTGGCTTGAGGTTTTTTTCCAATAGAGCTGTTTGTATAAAAGAGCTCCATCCTCAAGGAAGTCATTAATCAAAATATTACTGGACTTCTCCCCTATCGAACAGGTCTCAGCTAACCACATAAGTATGAAATTCATCTCACGAGTTTGCCTCACGCAACATGCTCCTGGGTGACCTGGGCTGGGTGACAGCCTTCAGACACTCAGTCCCCTTCTCTTAGGCTGTCCACACACGCAGACATTCTCTCTCTCCTCAGCTTCCTTGCTTCTGCTATCTGTAACATGTTCTGCTTTCCCAGATGTCTGCTTTTTCTGGACATTGGGAGGATTCTAGTCTCTACTCAGTTACCCAAGTAGGTAACCTTCCGCGTGTCATGGGGAACCACCAGACGTGTATGCTGGAGAACTGCTCCTACTCTGCTACCATTCCACACTTGCTCAGACAACTGCTGACATGCCAAGGGCTGCAAAATGAAAAGCCTGTGCTAGACTTTGAGAAGAAGGGACTGAGGCTGGGAAGATCTGAGGCATTCCTCCTTTTTTTTTTCCCCCAGATGTGAGAGTTTGTATGCCTTTGGCTGGGATGTCCTTGTTGTTGTGAGGCTCCTACTTCCAGCAAGACTTCAACAGGAGTGTTTTAGCCTAGGTTTCTGCTCCTTGCCTCAAAGTATCACCTCAAGAGAATGCTACCAATGAAGGACATGTGATTTCCCTCAGACCACTAGCCACAAGGCCCTTAGAACTTCGGCAAGTCACAGAGCTGCCCCAGGCGTTAGATTACCTTTGGGGGACCATCCATAAAGGACTCGCTTCCATTCAAAGCAGAGATTTCAGTTTTGCTTCAGTAGAGATCCTCCAGGACAGGGTTCTGCCCAACTATGGCTCATGGGCTGAATCCAGCCTACTGTCTGACCCCTTATAAATAGTCTGTTTGGACTCGGCCACGCTCACTTGCTTACACATTGTCCGTGGCTGTTTTTGTTCTCTGATGAATAGCTACAAAGAGACTACAAGGCCGACAAAGCCGACAATAGGAACTGTGTGATCCATGACAGAGAAAGGTCACCAACCCCTGCACAGGGTAATAAAGACTTAGCTAGTGAGCATTTATTATTTAAGTTCATCCTTGCTTGGTCTTGCTTGAAGGAAGGAAGGTTAAGCCTGATAGTGTGGACACTAGTAAAATTAGCTCAATTTTCTTATTCTCAAGGACCATGCCATCAGACCGACTACAAGTACAATTCTTCTAGAAAGGACCTAAACGACACCCTCTTGCTGAACTGTGCCCATCGCTGAACTTACAGGTTCACAGGACATCAACCATCAAGCCAATGACAGCTCTTTTCCTGCTGAACCTACTTGACACCATTTCATCGACAGTCTCCACTCCGCTGCACAAGACTGACCTTAAAAGTGTGAACTCAGCCACATCCACTCTTTTTTTTCTAGAAGGTTACTAACCTTGAGATGTTTGTTCTGCTCACTCTCTCCTTTCCCGCCGTGTGTCTGGTTAGGGGCTTCCGGTGTGTCGTGGCCTCCTTACTTCACCCCTTCTCATCACTGGCAATCTTCCTGTTCTCCCTTGGTTGGCAAGGCAGGAACGGCCAGGGCTTTTGTCCCAGAGCTGGAAGCTCTTGGGCTCTTCTCTCTTCCAGAGCTCCTCCAGGTGGGGGCTGAATTAAAGCACTAATATTTCATTAAGCAGGGCTTTTTGGAGGATCAAAACCAGTCAAGGAGTGTACCTACTTCACCACGTAGCTACTCAGACTCATTCCACATTCACATTGAGTTATGTTCCTTTCTTCCCCACCCCCCTAAAATTTTACCGTTGGAAACGATGTGCTTCTCATCCTCTGTTCTCTTAACTCAAAAGTACACACAAAAACTTTCAGCTGGTTACTTTGCCTTCTCTTCCCCATTTGTTTTCCTGCCAATCAAAGCACTTCATATTCAGAAGTCTCTGAAGTGCAGGCTGCTTCTTATCTCTGTCCAAATCTGAGTGTGTTTCCATCCTGCCTTCTAGATACTCTTTTTTTGTGTGTTTTAATCTTCCACTCTGACACAGAAAGCACACAAGTTGGCATTTGCCAAGAACTCTCCCTGCAAGTTGAGCAGCTTCTATGTCTTCAAATCACAACTGCTTCTAAGTTGTTCCAGAGGACCACAGAAATAGTTTTATTTGTTCTCTGGATTCGTAGGTAATGGAGATGCCCCGTCAGTTAACCACCCTGAGGGACTGTGGCTGAGGTGCAGTTGGGGCAGTTCACAGATATGCTGGGCAGAAAGGCCAGGGTCTGAGGAGGAGAAGGCAGTTCTGAAGGCAGCCAGCCCGCACATTTCCCTGTGCATCACACGTGCAGGGCTGGCCTCTTCTACAGACCACATGCGTGTCTGAAAGCATGGAAGAAGAAAATACAGGAGCACCTGGATGGTTCAGTTGGTTGAGTGTCTGACTCTCTTTTTTTTTTTTTTTTTTTAAGATTTTATTCATTTATTTTTACAAAGAGAGAGAGACAGCGAGAGAGGGAACACAAGCAGGGGGAGTGGGAGAGGGAGAAGCAGGCTTCCCATGGAGCAGGGAGCCGGATGTGGGGCTCAATCCCAGGACCTTGGGACCATGACTGGAGCCAAAGGCAGACGCCTAACGACTGAGCCACCCAGGCACCCCAAGTATCTGACTCTTGATTTTGGCTCAGGTTATGATCTCAGGGTCGTGGGATCAAGCCCCACATCAGGCTCCATGTTGTGTGGAGCCTGCTTAAGATTCTCTCTCCTCCCTCTGCCTCTCTCCCCCACTCTCACTCTCTCTCAGAAAGAAAAAGAAAGAAAGAAAGAAAGAAAGAAAGAAAAGAAAAGAAAGAAAGAAAGAAAGAAAGAAAGAAAGAAAGAAAGAAAGAAAGAAAGAAAGAAAGAAAGAAAGAAAGAAACAGAAACTGTCTTTCATTGCACAAAAAATTCTTGAGCACTTATTGTGGGGCAGAAGAAGCCCTCTCAAAGATATGACTCATGTCACTCTCTTCATTACATCACCATTCTCAAAAGAATATCCAAACTTTTTACTGACTTATAAGGCTGGACAAGATTGATCTCTATAATTTTTCCAGCCTCATGTCTGACACTTTGCTCACCCGCATTCTCCACTCCAGACCTACCTGACAGGGCAGAGGCTTTGCACAAGGGGTTCCTTTGCCTTGACTTCTCTATTCCCCTCCCATAGGGAGGCCTCAGCTCAGACATCCCTTATTGGGTACCCTCCCTGAGCCTCCCATGCCTAGGGCAGGTGTTCCTCTTGTGAGTTCTTTAAGAACCCCAGATAATCCTTACTGACGCGCTCCTTTGTAACTGCCCATTTATTTGCTGCATTTCCTATGATAGCCTAATAAACCCCTTCAAGTTGAGGATAAGGTCTTTTTTTTTTTTTTTTTTTTTTTTTGAGGATAAGGTCTTGTTGACTGCTCTATCCACAGAGCCTTGCATGGTGTCCAGCATGTGGTGGGTGTCTGTTAGATCATTATTTGTTGAAAGCAGGTGAAGGAATGGCTTTTGCCTATGAGATTTCACCATATGTGACCAAATGCTCATCAAAACCCAGAGGCCATCCTGTTTCCAATGTGTGGTTTTTTCTTTTGTCCCATCTTTCCATTTCTCCAATGAGTAAGACAAAAAAATAGCCTCGATCCAAAAGGCACATAAATTTTTGCAGGGCAAACTTGAAGACAAACATTCCTGATTGGGGCCAACTCTTTCTCAGAATGATTCAATGGGCCCTGAACTGAACCTCAAACACTGGCTGAAACAGTCACTGTCTACCCAAATGATTCATATCACACTGAATGTCAGAGCCTATTTCAACAGTAGATGCCACTTACATCTATGGGGTCCAGGCTTAAAAACTGGTTTTCCTTACTCCCTGACTTACAAATCCAGATTTATAAAGGCTAGGTGCTTTTCCTAAATTTCTCAATCTTCTATAATCACTTCCTAATTCATCATCCACCTGCAAAATAACACACACACATCATCATCATCATCAACATCATTATCATCACCCTTGCTATCACCCATATCCCATTATAAAGTTACTGCTAATATTAAGAAAGTAAGAATGGAGACAGCTTTTTTGTTTCTCTGTAGGGTCTGTCACTTCTGGTTTCTTTATTTTTCTTGGAGTTCTTGAAATCTTGCAATATAAAGAATCTAAGAATTAGCTTTGTATCTGTTCCTAAGGGATACAGGCATCCCACTATCTTGGCACAAGGAAGGCAACATTGTTCTCCCCAACATAAAGCTACATAATCTTACGAAGCAATTAGGGGAGATGCATGATCAATAATGAAACTCCAAACAAATAAAACATCCTGAGACAAACGGAATTGCATTACACATCCAGAGAACACATCCTGTGTTCCAACCAGGAGAACAAATGGAGGTGAAGACAAGGAAAATTAGTGGGGCAGAATGAAGATTATCTACTGCTCACAGAGATGAACAAAATTCCTCCCTCCAGTGTTTTTTAGTGACCCTTATTAAAGGCCTTTTCAACAGTTTAAAAGTAAAAATACTCCTTAACATTACCATTTGTTGACAGAAATAGGAAAAGCAGCTAAAATCATCACATCACTGGATGGAGTCTTACATTAGCTACCTCCTGCCTCTCTGGGGTCACCAGGGCACCAACTTGTTATTCTAACACATGGAAAGTAAAGGGAAGAACAAGCATTTATCCTGCCTTCCCTGTACAAATTGCATTTCAGGGTGACCTAAGTTTCTTTTTATAGAAAAATTCAGCCACTAAGTGGAAAAACAATAATAGATATTATTTTTAATTGCTATTTTGTTACTCCTATTAAAATAATAGATGGAGACCATTGTTATTAGACGTTAAAGCCATTAGGTGGAAGGTTAATGGAAACTCCATAATGAAATATATTGCTGATTGCCAATACACGAGCCCTCTGATCAACCCTAACCTCACACTAAAATAGTACAGCCAGACAGCCGGGGATTCGGTGATACAGCAGGAAGAAAACAGCACCACCCAGGAAGATCTCTTACCAAAGTAACTGAACCTGAATGCAGCCCAGTCTCCAGTAATGTCTGGGAGATACAGGGAAGAGAAGAGGAGTTAAGAGCACCATGAGGAAGCAAGAAGTACTACAGAATAAATGTCTTGGGTTTTCAATAAACAAATGGCAATTATGATTCACATAAGAAAATATAACCAGTCCAGTAAATGCCACAAGATGCTTAACAACTTTAAATAACCTTTCCTGATAAAAACTCAGCGTAATTTTGGAATTTAACTAGCATAATAAAGAAAACTGGTTGGAAACTAATGGCAGACTTAATGATAAAACCCTAGAAGAATCTTGGTTAAATTCCCAAGACAAGAATGACCACTATCACTGCCAATATTTAACATTGCCCTGGAAGTTTTAATTGATATTATAGGGTAAAAAAAAAAAAAAAAAAAAAGAATAAGAATTGTAAATATTGAAGAATTATTTTGACTTTATTATTACTTGTAGATGATCAACCTAGAGAACACAAAAGAATCAAATAAAAAAACTGATAAAACAAAAAAGGGTCTAGCAAAATAGTTTTGTAAGACTCAACAGCTTTATTCTGTAATATCCAAATTAGAAGCAAAAAGTACACATGTATGAATATATAAGAATGTACCTTAAGAATTTGTAGCAATTATACAAAACCTATATATTGTATCAAAGGAAGTAATATAAGCCTTGAATAAAAGGTAATATATTATGTTCCTCTATGACAAGATCCAATTTGGGGAAAACACATCAAAAAATTTTTATTTACCTGAAATTTAATAATCTCTTACATCTTTGAGTAGGTCAGGCTGTGAAAGACTTCATGACAACACTCTACAAGAGATAGTGAAGGCCATGGGAGGCAGCAGGGTGCTCTTCCTCAGCATTAGTATGGTTTATGTGTATGAATGTTCACAGAATAAAGATGTTCTTTTTTTTTTTAAGATTTTATTTATTCTTTTGACAGAGAGAGACACAGTGAGAGAGGGAACACAAGCAGGGGGAGTGGGAGAGGGAGAAGCAGGCTTCCCACGGAGCAGGGAGCCCAATGCAGGGCTCGATCCCAGGACCCCGGGATCATGACCTGAGCCGAAGGCAGACGCTTAATGACTGAGCCACCCAGGCGCCCCTAAAGATGTTCTTAATGAGTAAAAGTTTTGTTTAAATGCATAACAGCAAACTGCTTTTTTTTTATAGTAGGCTCCATGCCCAGCATGGGCCCAATGCAGGGCCTGACTCATGACCCTGAGATCAAGACCTGAGCTGAGATCAAGAGTCGAACCTTAATCAACTGAGCCACTCAGACCACTCTGCAAACTGCATTTTTAATAATAAGGAAAGTGAAGTAAGGCACCTTGCAGTACCAGATATTAAAATGTATGATATAGCTTACAATGTTAAAGTGTTTTATTCTTTAAGAATTGAGAGTTCAAAAGCATACCCAAAGAATTACAGATTTTCAGGGGTGGAGATGCGAACACAGCTAGATGAAAGAAGAGCATCATGCCGTGAAACAGTGTCTGAGTGCATGGTCCTGACCCAATGCTGGGGAACCAAGAAGTCCTGAGAGAACTTCCCTCTCAGGGCCTTGTCAGGCTAACACCCTCCTCCACATCGTATCTAATGCCCTATATTTCTCCAGTGGATTGCATGTGGGCCGAGGGTTCCATCATCATGGTCCGTACATTAGAAAAATATACCCACTTCACTTCTGCAATAAGAAGACATTCAGATATGGGAGATATTTGCAAATGACATATCAGATAAAGGGCTAGTATCCAAAATCTATAAAGAAGTTATCAAATTCAACACCCAAAGAACAAATAATCCAATCAAGAAATGGGCAGAAGACATGAACAGACATTTCTGCAAAGAAGACATCCAAATGGCCAACAGACACATGAAAAAGTGCTCAACATCACTCGGTATCAGGGAAACCCAAATCAAAACCTCAATGAGATACCACTTCACACCAGTCAGAATGGCTAAAATTAACAAGTCAGGAAATGACAGATGTTGGCGGGGATGCAGAGAAAGGGGAACCCTCCTACATGTTGGTGGGAATGCAAGCTGGTGCAGCCACTCTGGAAAACAGTATGGAGGTTCCTCAAAAAGTTGAAAATAGAGCTACCATACAACCCAGCAATTGCACTACTGGGTATTTATCCCAAAGATACAAATGTAGTGATCCAAAGGGGTACATGTACCCCAAAATTTATAGCTGCAATGTCCACAATAGCCAAATTGTGGAAAGAGCCAAGATGTCCATCAACAGATGAATGGATAAAGAAGATGTGGTATATATATATATATATATATATATATATATATATATATATATATATATATATATATACCATTTGATGGCTGCATAATATTCCAGTGTGTGTGTGTGTGTGTGTAATGGAATATTATGCACCCATCAAAAGGAATGAGATCTTGCCATTTGCAATGATGTGGATGGAACTGGAGGGTATTATGCTGAGCGAAATAAGTCAATCAGAGAAAGACATGTATCATATGATCTCACTGATATGAGGAATTCTTAATCTCAGGAAACAAACTGAGGGTTGCTAGAGTGGTGGGGGTAGGAGAGATGGTGTGGTTGGGTGATAGACATTGGGGAACATATGTGCTATGGTGAGTGCTGTGAATTGTGTAAGACTGTTGAATCACAGACCTGTACCTCCAAAACAAATAATACATTATATATTAAAAAAAAAAGAAGATAGTAGGAAGGGAAAAATGAAGGGGGGGAATCAGAGGGGGAGACGAACCATGAAACACTATGGACTCTGAGAAACAAACTGAGGGTTCTAGAGGGGAGGGGGTGGGGGGATGGATTAGCCTGGTGATGCGTATTAAAGAGGGCATGTATTGAATGGAGCACTGGGTGTTATACACAAACAATGAATCATGGAACACTACATCAAAAACTAATGATGTAATGTATGGTGATTAACGTAACATTAAAAAAAAAAGCACACAATTAAAAAAAAAGAAAAACCTTAAAACTGTGGCATGGCAAACATACACTAACAAAGCAAAGAGGCAGGACAATCAGGAGAGGGATATATGAAAGATAGGAGACACAGCATAACATTTTCTAAGTGTAAAGTGTTTCAGTATCAGTGACCAAAAAATCCCACAAATACCCCAACAGAAAAACAGGCAATGGACATTAAACATCAATTCACATAAGAACAAATACAAACAGAAAAATATGAAAAGGTATTTAATCTATGACAAATGAAAATTAAACAATGCCATATTAATTTTTGCACATCGAATATGCAAATATATAAATGAAGAGAATGATGTGACCATTGCTAACAAGAGTGGGAGGAAATATGGATAGCCATATTCTGCTGCAGACGCATCAACGGGTAAGCATTTTCTATATGCAAGAGTTAAGCAATGTATATGAAAAATGTGACTTGTTGTATCCTCTGACCCAGCCAGGCTGCCTCAAGATATGTATCCTAAGAAGGAATAAATTTTGCCAAGTTAGCAAAGATCTGTTTTTTTGTTTGTTTGTTTGCCTGTTCCAAGCAGGCTCTATCCCCTGCATGGGGCCCGACTCAGGGCTTGAACTCAAGACCCTAAGATCAACACCTGAGCTGAGAGCAAGAGTCGGACACCCAACCAACTGAGCCACCCAGGCGCGGCACAAAGATCTGGTTTTTAAGTGAGTAAATGTTTATCACAGCATTATTTTTATTAATTAAACTGGGAATTATCTGTATTCCCATATCTAGTGAACTGGTTCAATTAGTTTATTGTGGTGAATCCATGGGATGGGATACTCTGCTGCTCTTCAGTGGTTATGCAGATCTATATCCAGACATGTAAAATACCTATGATACATGAAGTGAAGAACTTTTTCCAACACACATATGCCCAAAAACTAAGACAGTGAGACAGCCATTCCGAAAAGCAGTAACTGGAGTAAAAGCCCACACCCTGCTTCTCACCTGGTTTTTGCATCGGCAGGGGCTCAGCAGGCTCTACTCAGGACTCCTTTGGCCACCGTCCTCTATCTTCCTGCTCCATTTATATCCTTTCTTCTCCTGCTGGTCTCAAGGTTTCAAAGAAATAAATACTTAAACATTTTCAGGCCTCCTGACCTCAAGGATCAGACCCCAGGAAAAACTAAGTTCCTCTTTGGGAATCTGTTCTAAGTGACCCCAGGAAGCAGCAGACAACCACACTCCATGGATAGACAGGGACTTACACACATTTACTATCTCTTCCCCCCCAGCCATCCGGACAGAGCTCATTCCTTTCTCCTCTATATCCCCTATTACTTCGTGCTGCTACTTGATAACACTTCCCTCTGCGATATGGTTAGTGAGAGCACAAGAGCGACCCTCATAAAGAAAAAGAGTGTGCGCTTTGCAGAGGACTCTTGTTCAAATCCCAATCCATCTTGGACTCGCTGCACGGCCTCCAGTCACCAGCACTTTGGTGGCCGTACAGACTGCCAAGCCATGGTGGAGCACCCAGACAGGCCAACTCCAAGCTCGTGTTACAGGGTCAAGGGCACCCCACCCTCAGCAGGGCCCAGGCAGGCTCCCTCAAGACACAAAGTGCTGGAAAGCTGATCTGGACTCTCATACTGTCAATACCATTGCATCCCAAGTAACTTACAGGAATTTTTATTTTCTGAAATAGCACAAAACATAGATGTACTTCAATTAAAATAGATACTTGCTAGATATTTTTATTGTAAATTTCTAAACTTCTCTTCTTGTCCTATGGTTGTTCCCCTGCTTTGCTGGTGCCCTGAGGACAGTTTTGTCTGTAGTTGGGTAATGTAGCTCATATTTGAGCTGTTTAGTTAACATTTACACCACAATCACTGTCCCCATAGTCTGTCACCATAGCAAGGTCCTGGATAAGGGAAGGTCTCCTGCCTCAGCTGCAGAATGCACTGCACTTTCTCGAATTTGAACCAGAAATAAAAGTAGTCTAATGTGAATAGGGTTCTATCTCTCAGACTCCCTGGGATGGCCCCAACATACACCTGGTTGAACTGGTATATTTATCAATATCCCCACCCCCCATTTCACTCTGGTGTCTTGGTTTGGATGATAAACTCTGTTCATCCTAAAAGCCACCCTAGTTAGCTGTGGGTTTAAAGTCCCATGTCCCAGGACACCCTTTAGTCCTGGACAAATGAGGACAAGTTGGTCACCACTGATACAACAGTGACCAAAACCACCTGGGTGTAAGAGCTCCCTAGGTCCTGGGGCTAGGTCTAGCCCACCTTCACTCCCGGTCAGCTCACTTGGGAGCTTGTGCTGTCTTTCCTACCCAGCCCTCAATCAGGATTACCTTTATCCATCAGAAAGCAACTAACAGGGCTGACTCTCAAAGAGGTAGGGCTAGAGTCCCCATCCTCCTCTTCCTGGTGCACGTGGCCTCTTTGAAAGGTTATAGACCTGTCCCAAAAGCCACCTGTGAAGGGCAGGCTAGGTAAGCCAGAACAACATCCCTTCTATTCTCTTACCTCAGGGTAATGGGAACCTACCCACTTGATATGTACCCACTCTGATCCTTCTGGAAGCAAAATTATGTCCTGGGGTGGCCCTCTCTTTTGTCCACTAGGTAAAGAAGGAGCCATCTCCTTTTTCAGAATGAACAGATGAACCAATATATAAATAAATACTTCATGTTCCTTCTAAATTGATGCCACACTATATGTAAAAGTGTGCCTTTATTTTTTTCTATTTTGTGTCTGTCTCTGGACCTCCCACCTTGAATGTGAGTTCCTTGAGTGCAAAGAATTCCTTGTTCACTATTGTGTCAAAGCCCTCCTGGTTTGCCCAGCACCAAGCAGTGTCCCAGGACACAAGACTTTTGGTGCTAAAACCAGAACAGTCCCAGGCAAACCTGGATAGTTGGTCACCCTAGCTGTAACCCCAGTCCAATAGCAGTGCCTAGCCGGTAGCAGGCGTTCAATAAACAGTCCTGTAACTATAATCAGATCAACTCTTCTGCAAGTTTGTTTTCAGAATTAAAAGAGGGAGAAAAGGTGCTAAAAGGCGCATCAGGACCTTGATAAATATGAGTGTCAGCTCACAGGGAGAGTGGATGCCTTTCTCCTACTGGGCTCTCATTCTGTCCTGGGAGGAGACAGGATGCTGTGGTTGACCACACATGTCAGCTCATCTCCTGGCCAAGCAGCACCATTTTCTTCTTCCATGGTAGACCCCTGTCTTTCTGGGGCTGGAACATGAGGCACTGCATCTACCAGACCCCTGCCAACAGGATTCCAAGTTAAATTTTGCCAGTGAAAGGTATTTGCATGAGATCTGGAAATCGAAAGAGAAGTAGGATTTCATTTCTACTGACTGACGTCACACTGTCTGTAAATGTGTTTACTGTCACCCTTCGGCAGTAGTGGGCAGCTGTGAGGGCTTTGCAGGTGGGAGGTGTGAAGCAGCCTCCCTGCCAGGATCTGTCTGGAAGTCTCCTGCATCTGTGGGGGAGGCAGCCATGAATGGGCCAGCAGGACCCTTGCTCCGTCTCCAAAGTCAGCAACATCGCATCTCCAACCGTTCTTCCCTAGTCTCACCTCCTCTGACTTACCTCTCTGCTTCTCTCTTCCATTTTTATGGAGTCCATGATTGTACTGAGTCTGCCTGGACAATTCAGGATAACTTCTGTAACTCAAAGTCTTTGACTTGAATCATATCTCTCTTTTGCCATGAAAGGTAACATACTCACAGGTTCCAGGGATTGGGATGGAGACATCTTTGAGGGGCCATTAGTCTGCTGACCATGACAGCCAAATAGAGATTAACTGACTTCTTTTTTTCTTCCCAAAAGCATTGATTCTGGTTTATTCAGAGCCTCTGTACTTGGCAAAAAAATAAACAGTATTATCTGGGAAAATTCACTCATGGTGTTTAGCGCCATGATATCCTGAGGGCTAATGGAAAAGATGATTTTGAGGAAAAGATAATAAAAAGCAGATATAGAAAGAAGAAAATTTTTAACTTTAAGTTAAGCAATACACAAATGCATACACACACATTTAATTTATTAACTAAAATACTAAGGCCTGTTCAATGTTTTTAGACTTGTTACCTTCTGGTAATTGTATTCTGGGCTCTAGTGGGTTCCCAAAGGTTAGGATCCAAAGGCACTATGCCAAAAAATAAGAAATAAGATGAAAACAAAATTGGGCTACATTCTAAGTCAAAGTCAAGTCCATAATTATGCATACAGTATGTTAACTCTTGAGGCCCTTGGGTGGCTCAGTTGGTTAAGCATCCAACTCTTGGTTTCGGCTCAGGCCATGACCTTGGGGTCATGGGACCTCATCAGGCTCTGCACTCAGTGTGGAGTCTGCTGGTGATTCTCTCTCCCTCTGCCCACCCCCCAACCCCTGCTCACGGTGCTGAGTCTCCAAACAAACAAACAAACACTTTTTTAAAAAATCTTACACATTTGGCTTATCTTAAGTCATGTTACCAAGCTGCCCTCTTGCTTAAATCTTCTCTGCTATTGCAACCACAGTTTCCCTTCTCCCATTCTTTAAGTTATGCTCGTTGATTTCTCAAAGGACCTTTACAATTCTTCCTTCTTGCATTGTTTCTCTCCTTCGTTCTGTGCACCAGCATGCCTTTCTCTCTCTTAATTTCCTCTGAGGAGCTATTCTACTACTTCAGTGCCCCAAATAAAAAGCTGAGATGTTCTCAAAGTTCGAAGTTGCATCATGGGCATAATTCTCTTTGTAGTGTAACTGCATAATCAGGTCGCTCCTTTATCAATACTGATCAGATTTCAGTTTTTTGCATAAACAGACTGCAACACTTTATTTTCCTGCACTTGTTAAAACCAGAAATTTAAATATTTATTATTTTTTAACTACAATGCCAAAATTATCTGGCTTACCCATTAATATCCAGGACAGACTTCATTCCTGGTGACTACAAAATCCATTTCCCTAATGCCAAGGCTCAACCTTGTTACCTTTGAGTGTTTTGTTTTGTTTTTTTTAACCTCTCGTATTCAGGCACCAAATACTTTAGAGTCCAAGAAAATATTTTTAAAAGCAATCTCTCCACTGGCACTCTCACCATGCTGGTCCTGAAAGCATTCAATGGGGGACCACAGATTCACCCGCCCGTAACTCATCCTACAACTGCCCTTGGGTCCACTTTCCTAATAATGACTTTCTGAGTATGGGTGCTTTCCTGACCATCTCACTTCATCCTTCAGCTACAAACATCAAAGGTAACAACTACTGGATGGTTACTATGTGCCTTGTATGTCTCTAACACTTTACATGTTTCATTCATTAAAGCTTTCTAAAATCCTAGAGAATAGGAAATGTTACTATTCTCACATTACATTTGAGAAAACTGAGGCACACAGTGGTTAAGCAATTTCTCCAATGTTCCCCACACCTTCTAGGTGAGCAAAACCAGGATTTGAATCAAGATATTTGACTACAGAGCCCACACTCTTCACCTCCACACCTCATTGCCATCATGGGAGGCAGATTTATTCCCTATTCAACAGATAATGAAATGTTCCTTCAGCTGCTAGGAAACCTGCCTAAAGGTCCATGTGTCAGAGCCACCATAGCATACTGAATTTCTTCTATAATACTCCCCATATCAGAAATTTTCATTGGAAAAATTTCCTATGGCAATGTTCCCCGAAGTGCATCTTCCCATTACCACAGGCATTATGGAAAAGGTAGATTTTGTGGATAAACTGGATTGGGAAACTTTATACACTTTATTCCCCTTTTGGAAATATAGAGATCACTCAATGCAGCATATTAAAGGCTCTGACAAGTCCAATAATAAAGAAGCCTATTAAACTTAGTTTAACCCAGTTTCTCAAACTAGTAGGGACCATGAAATTACATTTTTACGTCTCCGCTATTACCATATGTCACAGAACGTACTTCGGACAATGCCATGCACTAGACTCAAATCTAAACACCCTGGCTTTCATTTGTAAGACTTGGCTAAGTCTTACAGAGTCTACTCCCTTCTTTACTTGTCCAAAGTAACTTCTCATTTGAAAACCAAATCAATATAGTTCAATATATCAACAAGTTAAAGAAGAAAAATCATGTGATCATATTGATTGACATGGAAAAAGCATCTAACAAAATTTAACACTCACCCGCAATAAAAACCCTTAGCAAATTAGGAAAAAAGGGAAATCACCTCAACTTAATGAAGATCATCTGCAAAAAAGCTAGAAGGACTAAATGTTTTCCCCTAAAATTGAGGAAAATACAAGGAAGTCTGCTTTCCATGCTACTATGCAACATAATATTAGATGTTCTAGTCACTGCAATATGGCAGTAAGGGAATAAAAGGCATACCGATTAGAAAGGAAGAAAAAAAACCTTGACAAGTGCAGATGACATGATTATCCACGTAGCAAACTCAAGAAATCTACAAAATTTTCTAGAATAAGTGAGTTCAGCAAGTTATTAGTAAACAAGGATTAACACCTAAAAACCAACAGCACTTCCATAGGTTAACAATAAAATAGGGAAACCACAATTTAAAACATAATGCCATTTACAAATCAATACCAAATAAAATAAAAGATCTCAGTGTGTGGTATATCCATACCATGGAACACTACTCAGCAATAAAAAGGATCAAACTATTGATACACACAAAAACCTGGATGAATCTCCAGGGAATCATGCTGAGTAAAAAAAAAATCCAATCCCAAAAGTTACATAATGAATGTATTCCATTTATATAACATTCTTGAAATGACAAAATTTAAGAAATTCAGAAACTTTAGAACAGGTTAGAGGTTGCCAGAAGTTAAAAATAGAAAGTGATGTGGGAGAGAAGTGCCTCTGTAGGTTGTCACAGGCAATAGGAAGGATCCTCATCATGTTCGAACTGTGTAGTATCTTGACTCTCATGGTAGATATGAAAACCTACATAGATGATAAAATTGTATAGAACTTAATGCAGTGTTCTTTTATTAATATGATAGGCTATGCAGCTTAGTACAATAGAACAATACATATGTGCAACCCCACACAAATGAGTACAAGTAAAAGCTAGGAAAAGCTGAATAATATAGTAGGTTATACCAATGTCAAAATCCTGGTTGAGATATTGTACTATATTGTGTAAGATGTTAACATTAGGGGAAAGTGGGTAAAGAATATACGAAATCTCTCTGTATTATTTCTTAGAACTGCATGTGAATCTGCAATTATCTCAATAAAAATCTCAAGTTGTTCTCTCAACCATTCTCTTTTAACCTCTGTGGTTTTACATTAAAATCCCTCCGGTCCTGGTGAACTCCTGCTTCCTTATATCCCTCATGATGAGGAGAGACACGGGGGCTGGAGGGGGCAGTTGCCAGCTTGTAGGAAGTGTCTACACTTCCTGTAGGAAGTGTCTCACAGCTGCAGGAGAACTCAGGGAGGCTGCGAGAAGGTAGGCCACAGCCTAGCAGCCTCTCCTACAACACCTAGAGGAGGACAGGCCTCCCCTATACTCCCAGGGCGGGTAGGGTAGGGGGAAGGGTAAGGCAATGCCCCAACAGAGGAATTTGGAAGGAGCTAACTACATATGCATTTATTCTTTGACCCACCAATTATACTTCTAGAAATCTGCTCTGAATATATACCTCTGCAAGTACAAATCAACATAGGAACAGGTTTTTAACAACTGTGGCATTATTTGTAACAGCAAAACATCACAAACTTAGTACTCATCCATGAGAAACTGTATAATGGAGTACTAAGAAGAATGAGGAAGATACCTCTGAACTCATATAGTGATTTCCAGGATATACATTTTTTAAAGAATTTATTTATTTATCTGAGAGAGAGAGAGAGAGAGAGAGAGAGAGAGAAAGCTTGCACAAGCAGGGGGAGGGGCAGAGGGACAAGCAGACTCCCTGCCCAGCAGGGAGCCCGACACAGGACTCCATCCCAGGACCCCGAGATCATGACCTGAGCTGAAGTCAGATGCTTAACCTAGCACCTAGGCACCCCCAGGATATTTTTAATGAAAAAAGTACAAAAGAGTATGTATAACATGCTGACCTTTCTGTTAAAAAAGAAAGGGTAATTTAAATATATGTATATACACATTATATATATATATTTATATATGTAAATATATATTATGTGTATATATATTATATATATAATGTATATCTACTTCATTTTCTTGCAGAGAGAAACAGAAGAGATAAATTGTACACCAATGACAATATTTATATGTGGGGTTGGTAAGAAGCAGTTGGGGGTGTATAGATAGGAAGCAGACTTCTCTGAGTCTACCTTCTTCTTATAAGATTTTGACTTTTGAATTATGTGTATTTTTACATATTCAAAAGAAAAAATTAAATGAAAGGATGAAAGAAATCAAACTAAAACTACTACAAACAAAAAAATTGACCTAAGTATACATTAAATATACAACCTGGCTGTAAGCTTTGTTACTAGGGCTGTTATTATAAACACCAAAATAATTGCAAAAAAAAAAAAAATCAAACTTAGTCATAAAGTTGAACCAACTTGCTTGGTGCACTCAAGTGATTCTGAAACTTTGTTCACGTTGGAGGACAGAGGAAATAAGAAGATATATTTACTCTGATGTTGTAGGGAACCAGGGTTCTCACTATGAGGAGGAGAAATACAAAATAAGGAAAGGGGAAAGGAGAAGAACTCTGCTCCTAAGCTAACAGGACAGTTAGAGTAATAGTGAACTCATGTTCCCTGGCTCTGTCCCCTGAAAGGGCCCGGAAGCAGTGACAGGCCAGCAGCTATGCACAAAGCTACCCACCCTCTCAACTTGCTTTCAAGATCTCATTCCCTATAAAGAAACCAGGGCTCCTTGAGAAACTGCTGATAGCAGCCCCGGGACAGGGAAATACAAGGCCACACTCTAATCCTCTCCAGGCACAGACAAAACCAAGTCCCTGCACAAAACACAACAATCACCAAAACCCTCTCCCAGGTGACCCGAGCAACTGCTGTGTCTGCACCAAGGATGGCTTTAGCTTCTCCCCACTGTCCCTCCTCCTGTCATGAGGTCCCCGGCACCCAATCTGGAGCAAACCCCCACTTCCTTGACATCCCCCTATCTCATAGCACAAGTTAAATTCCACAGTCAGGCCACGCTAACAGTTCTCGCTGCAACGCCCTGCCCGTTGCCACGGCGTGTGGTCTCCCTGACTGCTGCAAGCGGTCTCCCTTCCTGACTCTCACACTGCAGGCCGTGCTTCTAGTCTTGTATGAGAGCTGCCAACACCACCCCATCCACCCCCATGAGATAAGGCACGTTGTACGTATATGTACTGAAGCACCTTTTGTCGATGATTGAGCTGGACCACATTTCTAGAACCTTAGAAACTTGCTCTACCCTGTGCCTCCTCACCTGGCCTCTGCTGGTCCCTAGAAACAATCATTCTCAAATCTTCTGGCTGTTTTTCTTATGCCATATCCCTAAATAATATGCCTATTCTGTTACTTCTTGATTTACCCGTTTTAAACATTATCTCTTACCTTCCTTCAGCATATTATCTCTCTTGTACATATGGAGAAAAAATTTACTCAAACAGAGGAAAATGAAATGATAATTGCTTGATTTTTTTGAAATGCTGAAGCATTTTCTCATAAACCTGTTTGACCCTCATCTGACACTCTTGGGAAATGTAACTTTACTTTGTTCACCAAATATTCAATAAATAATCCAGTTGATGAAGGGGTTTTCCTTCACATACATCCATATTCACTTCTTCCTCCTATCCTCCCAACATATGACAATAATGAGTCTTTAAAACTGACCACCAGGATTGACATCATTATAATTATACAAATGCTCATCATTCCTTTCTTGAACAATTTCTTTTGCCAGGTGACGCCCCACCCCCTCTCAAAGGTAGAAAATCCCCTTTTCTGGGCCAGTGTCCTCTCTATGAAGCACCATGCTCTTGACTCCCCCTGAACCTATCCCAACGTGGTTTTGCATTCAAGTTCCACAGCAGGGATGGGAGGAGCCTCTGCTGATGACCAGGGACCATCGTGGTGCCCCACACAGCCTACCACAGCATCTCTGTAAATGATCTGAGGCAGCCTGAGCTTGAGTCTGTTGAAATGCTCATCTCACCCACTCATCTGTGTTCAGTGTTGAGGAGAGGCTGGATTTACACAATCCAGCCTCACTATTCAAGCAAATCTGGCATTAGATAGGACATTAATTCCTTCCCTCTTGTATCATCACTGGATCAAAGCAAAGAACTTACACCATTTTTATGTGAGCTATGTAGGTACACTTTTATCCTTATTTTGGAGAGCTCGAAATACGTTAGCATCATTATTTACTTGATTATATAACCAGATACTGAGGCACCATTTAGTGACCCACAGAATGAGAGGGCAGGTTAGTTTTCTGAATCTAATGCTCTGAGGCCCTTGAAGAGGAAGTGGGGGTAGACAGTGAGGAAGAGCCCATTCTTGAGAGTGTTCTGGGAACTACCTGTTACAAAACACACTCAGTGATGCTGTAATTTTGACAAGGTCAGTGGATATGAGTGCAAAATTATTCCTCCTGAAAATGTGGAAACATTTCAGAAGAGACAAACATGAACCTTTAAGTAGCATATTTTATTCCTTTTCCAACTCAATCCTTTTTCTGTTCATTATTTCTCAATTTCTGTAACTTCTCCATAAAAATCTATAGACAAGATGACCCCCCCAAAATTCTCTAAATTACATGTAGTGATTCTCCGCAGTGTGTGTATCATGCCGGGACTATTGTCAGTGACTGAGGTTGTGTGATTCCGGCCATGCCAACTTGAGCAAACCACAGTTATGGGGATGGCATGGAATGTGAAGGAAACATTAATGTCTCTGGGAGAGGCCACTACTTAGCTTTAAAAGGATGTGAGAAATCAGGCTTCGAGGGAGGCTGATGGACAGTGGAAAGGAACAGTAGGAATGAGATGCTGGTTTACAAGTAGACCCAGGTCTTCCCACTACAGACAATAAGTGAAGTCAGAGGAGGTGATATGACACCTTGGGGAAAGTACACAGAGGAAAGAGGGCTGAAGAATGTTTATAGCAAAACTAAACCAAATGTGACACCAAACCAAAATGTAAACCCCGAATTCTAAAGGGTCCTTGAAAGTTCAGAAGACAGATCTTATGGTGGGTTCAAATTCTCAGAAATGAGAACTAGTTCGTAACTGAGCGTAAGTAAAAGTGAAACCCTTGTCAAAAATGTTTTCAATTTAGCTACCATTCTAGAATGGTATCTGGATGAGAAATATTATTTATTCTCTATTTATTCTCTTCTATAAAGTACCATAAAAGTATGCTAAAAAAAAGATCTGGAGACTAAATAATAAACACTTAGCTATCCTAAAATGCTAGAAGAATAATATTAAGGCTCAATCACACACACACACACACACAAACTCATACTGAATTCAAATACATGAAACATCTGACCTAATAAATCAGGCAAAGGGAAGGAAATTAGTGACTGCTGTTGAGGACTTGAGATCTATAGTTCTCTGAATATGGAATAGAAGCAGATTGGCAGTCATTTTCTTTTCAATTTAATAACCGCATTAACTCAATCTATGCTTTTATCAGCTCTAAACAGAGGGGAGACAGACCTTTAACTTTCACTGGGCCATAGAATGATAACACACAATTCAGGCTTCTCAGAGAGTGAGGTCATGATTGAATGTTTGGCATCTAACTGTAAAACTAGCTTCAAGATGCCTGTACAACCAGAAATAGCCTACTTGTGGGAGCCAACGGACATTCAATCTGGGGTGGGTGCCACAGCCCAGGACAAGGTGATGGGGTCCAAGTAAGAGAATCTGCAGGTGAGGGCAGCCCTGCATGCAGCTCTGGAGTCTGAGCCATGTGCAGAGGCTTCTGCACAAGAACATGGTCCAGCCCCGCTCAGGGCATCAGAGCCCAAGCAATGATGGAGCCTGAAAAGGGTGTTAAGTGATCGATTTGAAGGTGTATGTTGCTTGGTATCAATCCTTCTCTGTCTCTAGGTCTCTTCTCTGAACTCTGATTTATAGATAGATAGATAGATAGATAGATAGATAGATAGATAGATATAGATATAGATATAGATAGCCATGATGTGTGTGTGTGTTCACGTGCGTGTGTGTGTTTTGTGTGAGGGAGGGGTCCACTTTCTCCTGCTCTAGAGGATACTGGGGTTCAAATCCACATAATTCCAAGTCCATCCAGACCAAACCCCTTTCATGTCTACTCTTCTCCTTTGAGATTCAGGTATTTTTATACCTCCTGTGGCTTTGTCTGAATATAAGTTCAAATAGTACTACTTTTCTAATTTCAGAAATAACCCAAACGCAATGGTGAGCTGAGCTAGTTTTAAGATGCCCACTGAAGTCAATACTAACTGTACAGCAAGTGACCTTTTCAGCATTAGGGTCTAGAGCCAGGTAGAGTGAACCACCTCACCCGCTGGACTCTAAGAGCACACAGCTATTGTATTTGCCATGTCCACTAGCAAGTAATGCGTGTACGTGTTGGTCCCTGCCCTGACAGCTGCAAGCTGGCTATCCGGGAGCTCAGTGTCTCACAGCTTTGTGGCCCAGGCCCAGAACACAGTAAGCGTTCAATAAATGTGTGTCGCACTGATACACAGCTAAGCCTGGGAAAATGCACAGCAGCCAAGAACATGGCAATTTTTCTTTT